AAAAAAAAAATGGACTTGGCACCTTTTCACCTTTAGGTAGCGATATAATTTATGGCTACGGTGACCATATTAACCAAAGTAAAATAAAGGACTTTTTTTTTAATGATTTGGGAATACGTACATACAACTTGTATGATAAAAGTACCTGACCAATATCGTAATTTAAATCACCAGTTAAGTATATTATTTTATTGTACAATTTCCTCTGCTGTAGCGAAAAATTAAATAAATTAAAAACTAATTTATTAATAATTAACCAGTACAGTACCAGTTATTTAATTGTACAAGTTCCCCTGCTGTAGCGAAAAATTAAGCCAAATCCTTTCCAAGGACTTCGCATCCTTTGCTAGCAAAATGCGTTTTCCATAATTCATACTGCACGACGAAGCCAGCACGCAGTAGTCCAAAATTGGAATTTAATGTTCATAATTCACCGGAGCCTTCATTTTTCAACTAATTTTTACTAAAAACCGAAAAAAATGTTTATTTTGGTGAACATTTTTTATAACATTTCAAATTTATTTTTGGGTATTTTTTCGTTTTGTTAGAACGATGCAATTGTTTTCAACTACTTTTTTTTATGTAAAATTTATTAAAAAATAGAATAAATGAAAAAAATGAAAAATTAAGGCTCCAGTGAATTACGAACACTAAATGCCAGTTTTGAACCACTGTGCAGCAGGGGGTCTATTGTTCTCTCTGGAACTGGAAACTCAGCGTGCAACACGATCCTGGGCACAACTTTCCCTGTGCTTTATAGATTGTACAAAGATTACCGATTAACTAGAAACACTTAAGTTGGGTGCGAAGATAGATAGATAATTAATAGAGGCATGCACTGCGACCAGCAGGTCTATTGTGCCCTCAACCATTTACAGTACCTCATCTAATCCTAGAGAGCCCAAAAATTTGAGGAGATCCCCAGGGATTAGCGATTGTATTGCTTCGTTACTTGGCCAGTAGTGGCCCAGGTGCCTCTCCCGTCTTCTCGCGACCGCCACGCATTCGCTAAGCAGGTGCACGGGAGT